GCAATTTATAATGGGGCATTGTAGTCATCTTCGTGAACGAAAGTTCGTTCAATCTCAGCTGTTAGTCAGTTATTAGTTAGTCAGTTATGTCAGTTATTTGCTGTTGTATCGTCGATTTTCAAAATGCAAATGATCTGTTTATTTTCAAAGGATAGTTTGTTTTGTTATTGTTTAGTTGGTGTCTTATACGAAACTGCGACATTGCGCAATTTATTGGACAGACTTGTTTACGAACACACAGCGTAATTTGAGTGGCATTTTTTTCGTATTTTTAAATCATCTTTTTATTTTTGACAATATCTGTAAATGTAGTTTCCTGCTCTTAATTGGGAATACATACTTGATGGCTTTAAATGCTCCTGAAATTAAGTGCTGCTTGACGAGCCGATATTGTGTATGTATGTGACGTCACTGAAGGCCTAAGGTTGAAATGCACGGCCCGCCACTGCTTTCACGTGTAGATGGTTTTAGTTTTGAGTGCAGCTTTGTTTGTTTGATTGTTTATTGAACATAAAGACATATCCAGTAAGAAATTGACAGAAAGTGAAAGGAAGTAAATGTGTTGTTCTTCTTATCAATGATGAGCCATCATTTTATGAACAAATGAGCCTGAGCTCAACTTTATTATCCAGCACGTATGGTGATCTCCGTGAACTCCCCCGTTACCGGAAGCCTTGTCATATGCTATCATCTCTAAACCTACAGCGCCCTCTGTTGGCTATATGTTTCACAAACACATATCAAGACATCCCCTTTTCTTTATAAGAAAATATATATAGTTCCGCATACAGCAGGGACGTGCAGTCAGGGGAGGCAGGTGAGGCAGACTCAACTTTATTATCCAGCACGTATGGTGATCTCCGTGAACTCCCCCGTTACCGGAAGCCTTGTCATATGCTATCATCTCTAAACCTACAGCGCCCTCTGTTGGCTATATGTTTCACAAACACATATCAAGACATCCCCTTTTCTTTATAAGAAAATATATATAGTTCCGCATACAGCAGGGACGTGCAGTCAGGGGAGGCAGGTGAGGCAGAGCCGCACCTCTGAATGCGCATTGCATTGCACAATCATCACAAACTGGGTTGATACATGCAATTGGCACGTGCTGCTTGCCGTATATCTGCATGTCGCCAATATAATGTTTGCAGATACGTTTATTTGACCTGCTTTTCCACAGTCTGGCTAATGTTTTTCACCATTAAAGTTTAATGTTTTTTAGTGACATATTTAGATTTGCTGATGGGAAATAAAACCGCAGTGCAAAGGCACATGTTGCGGCAGATAGTTCTCTGCCGCAATTAAGGGGGCGTATGTGAGCAAACAGGTACATTGCGCGCTGTTCTTACCCGCAGAGGCACCAGGCAAGTCAAGTGCGATCCCTTTTTAAATTTGCTACGTCGGACTGCCAAAATGGACGAAGAGGATTATATATCAAACCTTAAAATCTTCTCAAAACTGGACTTTCAGTCAAAAGTGGACGTGATTAACACAGGTAGACCAACGCCGGAGCTAAAAGCTTTGCTTCAAACTACGGGACAGCCCGGACAGAAGATAACACGCTCTTTTCAAACGGAGTGGTACACCCGAAAAGAATGGCTATGTGGTTGTCCTTTGAAAAACTGTCTTTACTGCTTTCCCTGCCTTTTGTTCTCAACTTGTGACAATGTCTGGACTAACACGGGATATTGTGATATGAAAATTTACCACGAAGCCTCAGCAAACATGAGAGATCGACCAGCCACATTCAAAGCCAGATTGCTTTAAAAACTTTTGGAAGCTCAAGGATCGATTTGGCACTGAACGAACAGCGCAGGCTCAAAGTTAGCATCCACAATGCCAAGGTAAAAGAAAACCGAGAGATTTTGAAAGACCTCATTAATGCAACCTGCTTTTTAGCTAAACAGGAGTTGGCATTTCGTGGTCACGACGAGA